CCGTCCCCAGGCTGGCGCGCGCGCGCAGGGCGGCCCCGCAGACAGCGCCAGGGAAAGCGGGGTTCCCGGCCTCCCCCCGCCTGACACACGCACCCGGGGCGGCCGACGGGGAGGCAGGCAGGTCCCCGCCGAGAGCAGCTCGTCCACCTTGACTGTCAGGGCTGTCAGCGGCTGACGGCTGGTCCCCGCTCAACTTCCAGGGTTTCCAGGGTTCCCAGGGCTGCCAACCACGGGAAAGCGCCCGGGTAGCTGAGCGGCGCTGTAGCCAGGGAGGATGGTTTTGCAGAGGAAATGGGTTATTTCCTTCTGTTTCTTTTTCTTTCTTTTTCTTTTTTAAACCAGACCGCCACACTCTCCCACAGACAGATGATAGAAGTTTGTTAGGTGGCATGTAACATGTCACCAAACACGGGGGGCGTCAGTCTTAGAGAAAAGCTCCCCGGAGCCAACCGGGGAAGAGCAAGCAATGACACCTTGTCATCCTGGAAGCTGGTTTTGTTTGCACAGTTATAGACACACCGTGCCAGCTCTTTCTCAAAGGAGACGGTTTCTACCCTGGGAATGGGATTTCTCGGTAATCTTACTGTTTTGCAAATCATACTAAGTGGATTGGGTGGAGGGTCTTGTTTGCAAAAACAGTCCCAAGTGCTGTGCAGAGATCTCTAAGTGATGCATCTCCCCATGTCCAAGCACCAGTCCCTGTCATGGGGGGGCAGCGATCAATAATAATACGTCCTGCCTGCCTGCCTGGTGGATACAGAAATACCTCTTCTCATCATTAAGAGTGTCCAAGATAGTTCCAGTATGTAAATAAACAGTGCAGCCAAGTGGAAAAGCTCCTTCTCTGTGAGAACCACCAACCCTGAGTTTTCCTTCTGTGGTTTCCCAAAAAGGACTTTCCTCGGTGGAACTCCTGAGGACGACACTTAAATTAGGGGATAGGTTTCTACATCACGATCTTGTAAAAGGGGGTGAATCGGTGCTCTCCAGGGATTCAGAGCAGCTGAGGCTGCCGTCCAGGTTAGGTTTGGGGGTTTTGTTTTGTTTTTTTTAAATAGAGAATTGAAGTGAGCTTCACCTAAATACAGACTGGTTTTGACAACCAGGGCTGGAAACAACTTGTCAAAAGCTGTTCTCTAGGCTACGCCTTTAAGAAGAACGGAGATTGGCAGTGGCTCGCTGAGGCTTTGTTCACACCAGCCACACCAGCAGCTGCCACCGCTGCCCATCCAGGGCCTGCATTTTGAACTCTGCTCTGATCTGACCCTGGACTGGCACCCTGATGGTCTATCACAGTCCAATATTTTGCATTCTTCATGCCTCCAGGGGACAGTTTTCTCAAGAAATCAAATCGCAGTGAGAGTCCCAGCTATAGCAGATTTCCAAGCCTTGGCGGAATTCTCGCTTATTTAAGATTAGACACAACCAAATGCTCATAGGAAATTACTCCAAACCACCCAGTGCATTTTGTCCGTTCTGCTTCCTTTGGGAGAACATTTGGAGGAAGGCGACATGGCTGCCAGGAACCCCCATTCAGAATCGTAGCATTTTACCCTCCAGACCTCTGTGTCTCACCCCTGCTTTTAGAGGATGAAACTTAGGAACAAAGTCATTTCCCCATGAGCGTGCAGCCAGTTAATGGTAAATAGAAATTCAACAAATAACGCACGAGGGCCTCACGAAGACAGACCTGTGGACCTTGCGTCAAAGGACTCAAAAATGAATTGAGAAAGATGAAAGGGTAACTTGGAGCAAGTGGGGGTCAAAAGCTATCACAGAAATGTAGATTTTTAGGGCAAGAAGAGATCTGAGATCACCTCTGTCTAGTTCAACTCCCTTGTTCACCTCTTGACGCTGAAAATCAAGGAGCAAGGCGATTCTCCCAAGGCCGTGGGGTCGCTCCTCGCTCGGCTATATCCCCCACACAGTAAACGAATATCCCATCCCATCCAGTCAGAGAAATTCACATGCCCGTAAAACCAAAACATTATTTCCATGTTCTGGAATTCTTAAGAGCCTTTGAAGCCACAGGCCTTTCTCTCTTTCGTTTGTAGAGGCCAACCCGTTTGTTAAGCCAGTCGTCCTGCTGAGGGGATGGCAGAAAGGAAAGAGTCCAGGGGAAGGATTGATTACGCAAGCAGGGACTTCCTCACTTGATGACTGGGCTTTAGGAGGCTAGAGCCGTGCATTGCTTCAGGAGCGCCCCAAGACGCATGATGCTTTGTTTAGTGAACTTTTATTGAGCACATGCTATGTGCCAGACACACTGCCAGGCACTGGGTCTGGAAAGAGCTGCCGACTGCCCTGTGTGCAAGGCGTCCTCAACCGTATGTTACAGAAACCAGGTTATTCTATTATCATTCTGTACTGTGATCTTCAAAGCTCAATATACTAGGGCATAGGATGCTTTAGGATGATGGAGGCGTAAACTTGGGAGTATCAGTGGGTTCTGGGTTGTCATCTTTCTTTTATGATGATCCCAGTAAAACAATAAAAAAGCTGTCCTCCCCAAACCTAAGAATGCAGGTGAGAGTTATATTTGGATCTAGCTTCAGGGGCGTAGCCCAGATGTAAAGTTTAAAGAAACAAAGGAATTGAACACCCAGAAGGAGCTCAGAGAGTAAACAGAAGGAAAGCAGTCAGACAGCTGCCATCTTTGAGCCAGCTGTCCTAGATCAGATCTAACCAACGTCCGGCTCCTTTACACCCACGTCTGTAAGAACCATCTGGCACTTGCACTTTCCTCCCGGCTCCCAGGTCTCCTTGGGCCACTAGGTTTAACCTGAGAAATCAGGTGGTTGAGAACTCAGTGCTGAATACAGAAGTGTCAGCTGCCAAAGCTGGGGGAGCTTTAAGGATTCCCAAACCCAACCTTCTCATTTGACGAGTGAGGCACTCTGGCCCAGAGAGGTGCAGTGACTTTCTCCGGGTCACACAGTGACGCGGTGAAAGAGTCCTCACAACCTCTATAGGAAACGCCCCCTCCCTGGCCTTCAGAATGCTGTTCTGCATCCTGATACAGCGGGGCCCCAGGGAGACAGGAGATCAGATGCTGGACCATTTCGGTCCAGTCCCTTCCCCTCTCTGGGGGTCGGTTTCCCCATTTTGCAAAATGAGTGGGATTTTACAAAGAGAAGATGGACCCAGATGGGCTCCAAATCCCATTTTGGTTGTAACATTCCGTAATTCTAACTCCGCCCACCCCGGGGCCTCCAGCCCCACCCATCTTGCACATTCAAACCACCAGCGGCAACAGGCAAAGAGAGAGAGAGATGGGCACCCATCACCAGAACGGAAGCGCTGGCCTCGCCCAGAGGCTTCTCATAGTAGGTAACCTCATCTTTGTACAAAAACTGCAGTCTAGTCTTGACCCTCTAAAATGCAACCTGACAAAAAGGTTCTGTGCCTTGGTCCTGCAGTGCTCTTAGGCTAGAGAGGGCTTCTGTTTGTCTCTCTGGGGCCTTTATCAATTTTAGCCCAATGTGTTTTTGTTTTTTTTTTGCGGTATGCGGGCCTCTCACTGCTGTGGCCTCTCCCGTTGTGGAGCACAGGCTCCGGACGTGCAGGCTCAGCGGCCATGGCCCACGGGCCCAGCCACTCCGCAGCATGTGGGATCTTCCCGGACCGGGGCACGAACCCGTGTCCCCTGTATCGGCAGGCGGACTCCCAACCACTGTGCCACCAGGGAAGCCCAAGCCCAATGTGTTTTTATTCGAGTTGGCCCCGAGCCCTCTCTTAAAATGCTAAGATCTTACGGGCACCCTTCGTGCCAACGTGGCCTTGGACTTAGTCGCCTGAGCTCCGGGAGGACATGGCTGAATGGTTTTAAAATGTGATGGGATTTCAGTCTTAAGGTTCCTTATCATTATCATCAACAAACAATTTCATCCATGGAGGCAGAGGCCATCTCTGTATTGTCACTATCCCCCCCTAGCATAGGCCCTGGCACCCAGCAGTTACTTTGTTGGAAAGAATTAATTAAAGCTGTGTGCAAGGTACCTGGGGGGGGGGCGGGGAAGGGATGCAAAGAGAAATAGGCCCCAGATTTATTTTCCATGAGCTTACAATTTAACTGAGCAAATAAGATAAACGCATACGAGTAAACAGTAGCCCATTATTAAAGGGTGCCTGTCTGGTGAAGAGAGCTCCTTAGGTCGAGTGGATCAGAGGAAGCCTTATGCAGCAGGAGGATGTGATGAAGCGGGCGTTTGCGGCGCCAGCTGTAGGGGGGCCTCCAGCCTGGGGAAGGGGCACGCCACAGGCAAGGTGGCTGGCGAGTCAAGCGACAGAACAGGAAGAACTAAGGCTGCTGAGATCCATGGGGGGCAGGGACTTCCAATTAGGAAGGACTTTGAAAGTCAAGCTGATCTTGTGGATTTTGTCCTTCAGAAAGAGGAAAGCCACTGAAAAAGTCGGAGCAGAAAAATGTCATGACGATGAGGCATTTCAGAAAGATTAATCATAGCAGACAGTTGAGAGACCAGTAAAGGAGTCTTGGGCTTCCAAGGTGAAGCTCAAAGGAGTGGCCTGGTAGCGGAGGTCGAGATGGGAGGGTGACCTGAGCTGTGGACTCCCCCCACCCCCGCACTGCCCCTCCTTCCCTCCTACCCCGCTCCCTAGGGCTGAACACGGTTCCAAAGCCAACTCTGGCATGTACTTTTTTTAGTTTCCTTCTCAATCTTAAGCCCACTACCGTTGTCAGTTCCTCTGCCCCAGGTGCCTCATCTTGGGAGCAGACTTTGAAAGTCTTAACGGAGGAGGGGACTTGGGAAAACCTCAGCTGCTGGAGGGCTCGGGGTTCCCATGTTAAATCAGCTGCTTTCCATGTTGGGAACACGAATGACAAACTGGTCTGTAATTGTTACCCTACACCCAGAGCCACTTAAGTGCTCTTCCCACCTTTGCCCTCAGCTCTCAGGCATGACATGTTGACACATATCAAAATGCAGAGGCCTTTGCTGCAGGGAGCACAGCGTCTTAAAGCATCTTATGCCCTATTTATGCAACCAAATAGCCAACAGTAAGAGAGTAAAAAGTGAGTATATAGTCCCTTCAGAGTACTAGGCTACCATGCTATCAATAGGCTGAACAATATGAAATTAGGTCAGATTTGCTGCTTTGTAAGATTCTCAGAGCAAATTCCAAATACTGGATTCCCGTAGCAGAAACTGGAAAGTCTACTGGCTAGATGAGGTTTTGTCCTGTTATTTCTCAATTGTTCTCCATTTTCAATAAAACCTGCCTTCGTATGTGAACATGACAACTCGCGGCTAGGCCATCCACGCGTCCTGAAAATTCACCTGGCTACAACTGCATAGTTACAGAGAATTCTTAAACTCAAGGTGCGTTGCCATTAAGAGCGCAGAGACCACAGACTCGTTTGTTATTTATGGGTATTAATTTTTAGTTGGGTTCAAAACACACGTGACTGTTTCAAAGTGTACGTAATTGTAGAGGTTTTGAAAATGTCTGCGTTTCATGCGCTCGAGCCGCCGCCGCAGAAGAGACTGAAACGACCCTGCCTCCAGCGTTAAATACAGTTTCCCCTTAGTGGTGATACAGCACAGGGATCTGATGTTTGTTGCAACCTGAATGGAAAAGCATAGCAAGGTCACGAGTAACTTGGTTTAAGTTCCCTGGCTGTCCAGACCCCACAAATTGGTAGTGCCGTATTTGGTCACTATATCCTAGAGTACTGGTCCTGTGTGGAAAAATTCCATTTTTCATACACCACGTGGCGACCGACTTTGAGCAAGTCATCCATGCTAAACCAACACCAAGAAGACAGAATCCCCAAATTTTAATTTGCAGTCACGTTCCGTCCCCGTAGGTACAGCCATATGGGACCCCAGACCATAATCAGAATGTTGCTGAGTAGGAAGCAGGATGGTCCGAATGACCGGGGGCATCAAGCAGAGATGCAGGATTTCTCCAGCACTTAGCTGCCCCTGCAAGGTGGCCTCTGAGCCTCTCTTTGCCTAGGCTTCATTTCTGATCCACGTTCCTTACAGTCAATTCAGTCTTCCTTTACCTAACTTGTCTTCAGGTTCAAGGTCAGCACTGATCCTTGGTCTGGTGGCCATTCTTTATCCTCCAAAGAGCCTCTGAGTATTCTGCCCAGGTTCTTTATGCTTTTTTTGGTTAGTTTTTCCATTTAACTGCCATAGCTTGGAAGTCTGCCTTCCCAAAATCTTTCACGGCTCCATATACAATCCAAACATAGTTCGTTAGATAGATAGATAAGATGGATAGATGATAGATGACAGAGACAGATAATGATAGATATAAATGTGATAAGATGACAGATAAAAGATGACACAGATGTATAGATAGATAGATACTATTATTCAAAGACTTTATACTAACTGCACGATTTAAATATTCATCAACCTAAGAAATGCAGTGAGTAGTTCTTATCTGTTATGTTGAGTATTAGAATCATCCACCCTCATGCCGTTGCTGGTCTAATTTTTTTTTTTTTTTAACTTTTTCTTTTAGATTAAGAATGACCCAAAAGAAATCACAGCTTTGTTCCAGAGCCAATGTTTATACTCAAGTGCCTGATGGAGGATGGGGCTGGGTGGTAGCTGTTTCTTTTTTCTTCGTTGAAGTCTTCACCTATGGCATCATCAAGTCATTTGGTGTCTTCTTCAATGACTTAATGGACAGTTTTGATGAATCCAATAGCAGGATCTCATGGATAATATCCATTTGTGTGTTTGTCTTAACATTTACAGGTTAGTACATCTTCCAGCTTAAGCGCTATATAAGCATATGCCTCTTTCAGTCTGTCTAATTATGTAAGAGGCGCTGAAGGAAAATGTCTACTTGCCAGACTTGACTGCCTTCATTTAATTCACATGTATTAAACACCTACTGTATGCACTCTCTTAGGATACTGTAGATTATTTTGAGGACAATAGCAAACCCCGGTTCAATGGGAATGTGGTCATTTCCTAAAGCAGCATTAAAAGTTCCTGGCATCCTGGGTCCTGGTCTCGTAAAAACATGCTGAGGAAACAGGTTGGGAACATGAAAATGTGACTACATGAAGGAGAAAGATGGAAGGTGTAAAAGGGTATATGGGAAAACTACCCATATTGTCCAGAGAGGGTATTCTGAATTCCAAACACCTGTTTCCCTAAAGGACTTCACTGGCTAATCAGTCTGCCCAGCTCCCAGATCCAACAGCATCAGATGAATGGGATTGTAGTATAATTCTTAACATACTAACTTTCACTTGGTCCCATTCAGACCTAATTCAACACATCTCTGAGGTCTCATGACTGTTCATCCATCTGCCAGGGGCCGCGCCAGGGTCTTCTGAGAAAGCAAGGCCGTTGAACTTACCGCTGACAGTTAACGGGGCTGAACTTCAGCTTCCCTAACTTTACCCTAATATCCTGTCACGGAACCATTGCCTCTGAAGTTTTCTAAGCCTGTCTTTCAAGGTACTTAGCTTTCAGCCCTATACTGTCTCACGAAGGTAGCTCCACTGTTCTTTGCTCCCGGGTAAAGCCAGAATCTCTCCCGTTAGCCCTGATACCCTCTCCTACACGGTTCAGGGAATTACTTCTAGTTCCGGTTTGAGTATTAAGATACTTAATTTCTTAATTGGCAGGATGTTTACTTTCTTAGAAAGATAACTTACATGAATTAGAACCAAAATTTTACATTTGGCAACCAAAATAAAACGAAAATCCCAAAGCTGAACTTTTAGCCGTTTTCTAACCAAAGATAATACAGTCAACAAGAAATTTCCAGCTAATACTATTATACCAGAAGATAATTGTTCTTCATGCTGTTATTCTAGTCATTAATGCCTTGAGTCTACACACTGCCTAAAAATGATCCTAGTGATTTCATTATTTGCTATATTAATATATTAGTTTACATTCAACTCACATAAGAGATAGGTATGCACCAACCCCAACAAAATTAAGTCCTTTTTGAGTTTTTTAGCTCTTTCTATCCAGCATGTACGATGTTGTTCTTCCTCCCCACAACTCTGGAGGGTTCCCTCATCTCATTGTACTCAAGGCGGTATCAGTGGGAGCCTAAGTAGCATCTAACTAGGAAGCTCATCTTCCAGATTTAAATGTCCCAGAGGATACAGAGCACAGAAGCTACGCCAATTGTAATTCATCAGCCACTTTGAACTATCTATCCCATAGCCTGCCTCCTTTTGGTATGCATAACAGAATTCACCATACTTTCATACCATTTGCAAAAAAGTCAAATGGAACTTAGCTGGAATTTGACCCTAAACGGAGCCTCTTAAGAAAGAATCCAAAGCAGTGAGTATAGGAAAAAAAAAAAAAAAAAGTGCCTCATACAATCATAGGAAAAGCCCATTTTTATTGCAGAATAACAAATTTAATGCATATCCAATTTTATAGGGGCTCCTGGTGAGTCAAAATCTTTCACTGGAGACAAAAGATATGTTTTATACTATGACTCTTGATTTCTCTTCAAGGAGCCCCCAAAATATATCGTCCAGCTTGTGCAAATAGTAAAATAAGTCCTGAACTGACTTAAGGAACCATTGCACAAAATGTATTCTGTATCTTACATCATCAACTCCACGTTAAAGGCTGAAAAGATAGAATCTTACCAGGGACTCACGGACACAGAGAACAGATGTGTGGTTCCCAAGGGGGAGGGGGAGGGGGAGGGATGGGGTGGGAGGATGGGGTGAGCAGGTGCCAGTGAGTGTATACGGGATGGAGAAACAGGAAGGCCCCACTGTGTAGCACAGGGAACTGCATTCTACATCCTGGGATAAACCGTACGGGAAAAGAACAGTTTTAAAACACGAGTGTATATACGTGTACGTATAACTGAATCACTCGGCCGTACGCCTGAAACTAACACAACGTGGTAAACCAACTACACTTCACTAAACGTTAGAAAATGTAAAATTAAACAAGACAGGATCTTAGGGTAAATGTAGAGCTGATTCACTCTGTTCTTCAGCAGAAACTAACACACCACAGGGTAAAGCAATTAGACTCCAATAAAGATGTTAAAAATGTTTTTAAAAAAAGGAGGAGTCCTAGGGAGGCTAAGGCTTTTTCACCTCTGGGAGCTGAGACCCCGCTTTGCTCTTGCTGCAGCTCCTGTGTCCACTGTCCTGAGCATTGGGTTTGGACACCGTCTGGTGGTGATGGTCGGGGGGCTGCTGGTCAGCGTGGGCATGGTGATGGCCTCCTTCTCACAGAAGGTCTACCACATGTACATTGCCATCGGCATCATCTCTGGTAAGTGCTTCTCCTGGGCTCGCTCATTCTCCAGAGACTTAGCTTCTAGAACAATGCGGGGGCGGCGGGGCGGGG